CTGTCTGACCAGTCTACCGGGTTGGGTATGTAAATGAGCCCAGATTCGGTCTGCTGCTGCTGTCTCACCTGCAGGTCGTCGCACCTGTAACACACGACTCCGCAGACCAGCTACAGGGCGATGCATCCCTGTCCTCTCACCCTGCTGAGCACAGCATGTCCCCCCCCCCCCCTCAACAGGCCCGCGGACGTGTGGGGTGGCGTAAGAACCCAGATAGAGTCATATAATGAGACTGTCTGGCTTAAGAACAAAAGGAACATCACGTCAGCCGGGGCGGCGAAGGGGATTAGGTGTCGATCCGCTTCTGCCCGGCCCATGTCCCTGTGGACCACAGAACCTGTAATGAAAGAGCAGCAGCTTTTCCGGGCTTATTATCTGCACTGTGCGAGTGGAACGCGGCGAGCTGAGGACCAACAGGAACTTCTCGTGAACTTGCCCCATCTTCACTTTCTCCCCACGCTTTTATCTCAGGTCAGAACCCTGTCAAGGTTTTATCTTCTGAAAGGTGTCTGGAACACAGACAAAGACGTAGTCTAATGATGCAGTAATTAGATGAAGGGATCCGAACTGGCAACTTTTCTCTGACCCCCTCACTGAATCCCACCATTCTGACTCTGGTTGGCTTTCAGGAACATTTATTTTTAAACTTCTTTTACCCAAAGTTAGTTCTCACACAAACAGGCACAAAGCAGGTAACAGTGACCAAACAGATGCGGTTTAAAGATGATATTACATTTCAGAAAATGCTGTGGGTGTTTTAATCCCACCGCCTTTCCGCTGCATGCTCATTTCGCATGTTATTTTATGGGTTTCCTGTGGGGAGTCCAGTTTTCGCCCCCCATTCCAAAACTTAGAGTGAACTCCATCCAGTATTCATCCTTCCAATGGATTATCCTGCTCTGGGTAGTAGGGGGGTTTGGAGCACATCCCAGGAAAGACAGGAATGGGGCAGGCGATACCCTGATACCCTGGATGGGCTGCCAGTCCATCTCAGGGCACACACATGCATAGTATGGAATCTGGAGATGCCAGTTCACCTAATAGCAGGTCTGTCGACTGCAGAAGGAAATCAGCAATCCTGGATGGAACCTGTAGGACATACAAACTCTATGCACATAGAGGAGGGCTGGGACTCGAACCCCCAGCCCTGCTGTTCTGTCTCATCTGCTTCCTGCTATAGGCTCCAGGCTCCCCTTGACCCTGAACTAGATAAGCAGCTTGGATGGCCGATGGATGTTCATAATGAATGTGCCTGTGTTATAAACAGGGAATCTTTTTAGTTTTTTGACAGCATTCACAGATCTTTGTGGGGACTTAAAAAATGGTCCCCACAATGTCAAAATAACAGTTTTTTTTATCACATCGTGAGGACATTCAGTCCCCACAGTGTAACATATACCTGGACCACACACACACACACACACAGATGATCACACACTAAGAGCAAGTTAAATGCATGATTCACCTTGGAGTGTGGGAGGAAACTGGAGTACCCGGAGGACACTTACGGGAGTCCTGGAACAGACTGGGAATTCTCCGCATAGATGCACAGCACTGGGACAGGAATCGGATGTCCATCCCAGCGCTCACACGCGCTCCATTTCCTGTAGGTAGCAACATTGTCACCTCGCAACTCAAGGGCTGCGGCTCCGAATAAATTACTGCAGGTTAGCGCTCGGAGAGGGGCTGAACATTTATAGAGATCCTAAAGTCTAGTATCACTTGAGGAAAGGACAAAACACAAGAGATGCCAGAAAACCCTGTAACAGTCTTTGCTGTGGTATCTGAGGAATGATGTTTCACGACAATGGTGAAACAGAGATTGTGCTGCACTTACTTTACTGTGCTCTATATGGCACATTTCATTGGTGGCAGGTTGCATCTACACCAATGTAATCTAAAGGGTAATAATGTCACAGTTATTTGTCAAAGCGTTATTTGAAAGTAGAGATTTCAGTGACCCTACAGAAGAAGAGTTTGTTTCATTTAAGCTGTGAATTTAGAAATAAATTCACACCTATTATCATTTTTACTGTTAAATTATCACCTTATTATTTAAAGATTATTTGTGTAAAATGCCACTGTCAAGTCTGTGCCTTTGTCTATCCCATTTGAAACTGTAAAGACTGATAAAGTCTCAAAATGGATTTTCAGGATCATCATGGAGTATCGTTGTGTTATTAAAACATAAGTTTAAGTAATATGTTCAATAGGAATGCAGTGAGAGTTCATGAACCAGGAAGGAGTGACCCCTTCACCATCCACTAATTAGCAAAGGATGGACGGAAACTCTCCGTAGAATTTATGGGGCTTTTGAAATGCCTTTTGCTGTTTGGAATACAGAATAGCTAGTAAATTAGGCAGTGCTGTATATAGCAGTAAATTTTTAATGCACGCAAAGTACGACTTTCTAAAATCAAGCTGATGTTTACTGTGAATACTGATCACTGGCATAGTGTGTATATATGTTTTGTGTACAATTATGTATGAGTCTCAGTCTCCTTCTCATAGTCTTCCAGATTCTCAAAGGTGACGAAGGTGCAGTGCCAGGGAAAGACAGGAAGAATCACAAAGCTTTTGAAAAATGTACACATTTGGCCAGTGTGATAGAATTATCAGTACTTACTAACGTATCAGTCTCTTACTCTGGGAATATGCAGTGTTATTCTCTATAGTCATTATCACTATCATTACCATTTTTATTTATTAAATTTGTTTTTCTGCAATGGCTATAATCTGGGGACTGTAGCTGAAAGTTGTTTTTGCTGGTATATCTGGCGGAACTTTTAATGCTCATTATTGCAGCGTCTCTGTAAGTAAAGAAATATACAAAACTGTACTGTGGTTTCCCTGAGTGCTGGGAATTCTCTTTGCCGGGATATATAGAGATTTCTCATGTTTTAATTATCCCAATTTCATGTTAATGGAACTTCTTTCTACAGCAACATCCAAACAAACAAACAAATGCTCACACGGCTGATTCTGTCATGCAGTCTTGGTCTTCATATGCGTACTGGCTTGGATCAAGCATACCCTATTGCTGCAATCATATTGTATATTCCTAGATCATTATAAAGGGAAATGCTCTTCTCAGACCATTTTTAATAAGATGTACAGTTCAAGGGACTCAGTATATCTTGCTTCCCAGCTAACTTCTGTGTTATTCCGGCATGCAAGGCACCAAACATCCACAGGACATCATCAAACACAATACTTTAAATCAGGGCTATTCTAATCATAGTCCTCAAGGTCCGAGCTCTGCTGGTTTTCCAGCCTTTCTTTACCTGTGAGCCAGGTGTGAAGACTCTGTGGCCAAATAGAATCAGTAATTATTAAACTAACTTCCTGGGAGAATTGAAAACAAGGCCTGATTTGAAGAGCCCTACCACAGATATAAACGACGTTATGCTCACAACAGTCAGATGGGAAATTTAGGCATTTGTTTTTAAAGCCTAATAATATTAATGAACGCTTATAATCAAGGCAAACCGACTGACCTAATTTGTCTGTTTGAGAATTTAATAGTTTTGCAGGGTTTCAAAATTGATTCGTATTTTTATGTTCATACAAAAATAGAATGTAATATGTCCATGTTTAATATGTATTATAATACATATTAATATGCATTTGATACTTATGTGTGGGTTTTCAGAGGAGTGGATAGGAGTTGAAGAGAGGGCAAGCGAGTACAAGGAGTGCTGGTTGTGAATTAAAAATAAGTTATTTCAGATCTACTGAATTAATTCAAATCTACTGATTCTTTTCGGCCCTCTAGAGAATAGAGAGAGTATCTATATATCTACCAACGAAATAGCAGGGTTACAATTTTTCCAACATGACTTATACAACAGGTTAACCATCTTGAGGGGGTCTACAGAGTGGGGGGAGAGTGGAGGGCTGCAATATATGAAAAGATGAGTTTTGCTAATCACAAGAAAAGGGGAGACTGTAACTTAAGGCACTGACAGAAAAAGCCAGGCTACTCGTAGTCTCTCCATAAGGTTCCGTTATAAGTCTACTACATGGAATTCTCCAATGGAATATTCTGAGAGAATAAAATTATTCTAGAGTCTGGTCAATATATTTTTTTTTATTTTTTGTTCTCAAAAACACCCCAAGTCTTTGTTATGTAGAAGTATTGAATAAATCGAGGTACAATCACAGCAATGAGATTGTCATTGGTTTACGTGTCTCTTTGAATGGAACTCTTATGGAACTAGTTAGTGCTGTTGCCAGGACAACACTTCTAATTACCTAACTGATATTCAGTGCATGGAAAAAAAATGACTTTTTTAATGTCTTGTAAGAATACTAGTAAAAAGACTGGCATCATTTAAACATAATATTTCTGTAATGCACCAAAGAGAAGTTCCTAGTCATCCCTTGGTTGATTTTAATAATCATTTACATAATACAACATAGCGGAGATGGCATTTACGCAACAAGGCATGTAATTTGTTTTTTTTTTTGGGGGGGGGGGGGTCAGTGATCTGAGCACTTAAATGTGACACTGATACTGGATATTCCCCAATTTCAGCAACCCGATGACATGTTTTAATTAAGCTTGTCATTCATTCAGAGTTATGCTGATGGAAATCTGAGTGTATATCAGATAATGTGTGAAAGGAAAAATTAGATATTATAGACCAAATGCAAAAGCTGTGTAACTTTCAGCGTACCAGGAACCTGAGCTGATTGGTAGCTTGCTAATTATTTTGACGTGAAGTGAGATAGGCGAGGGCAAACAGGTGAGTGGAAGCATGTAACTTTTAGGGAGATTTTCGCAACAGAAGCTTCTGGTGTTTGAAGCCTGGATACCCTCACTGAACTACAGCGCCACCTATAGGGCAGGTGCAAGTAAAGGAAAGAAGAATGATGGGGCCTGCTTTTGTAAGATTGGTATTTCTGCTTTTAGGTGCACGGTGCTGATGAGGTCATAAGAACATAAATCATGCATAGCAAAAGACGGTAATAAAGACATTCATTCGTTGACATTAGGAAATGATTACAACCATAATTTATTATTATATAATGTTATTGATCACTTCACAAGTAAAAATGCATCAGCGAGGGGAAGAAAATAGCAACCAGCTGAAAAAGCATCATTAAATAAGTATATATTAATTAGTCGGCTTTCAATAATCTGGCTCTTTAAATTAAAGCCAGTTTTACTATATATCCTTTCATCTTCATAAAACAGAAACATTTTTGGGGAACAGCTAGGCTTTCCTTATACTGTACACATAACGCATTTCAGAGAAAGAAGCTTCATAACCAAACTGAGCACTTAGTTACTATGTATATGTGGGTTGTTAATTGTTTGGTTCACCACCATACTCAATGACAATTTAGGGTTACCATTAGAAATACGACTATGAGAAGAACTGGTCGTTTGTTTATAAAAGACATAAACTTGTCCAACGCTGCAAAGACCGTAGAACTGTAGTGGACAGTCTCCTTTCCTGATCGCTGCTTCTTTCATTGTCTTTCTCCAAGCCGCTCCATGTGGTCTGTTCAGTTCATCTCAGTAGCCAAGAGGTTGCGGGGTCTTCACCTCGCCAACCACTTATATTTACAGGAAACTTGGAGCTACACAGTTGATTGATGCCGTCGCATTACTCTACCTGCAAAGAGACATGGCAGACTTGTGTTAGCCTACAGTTGGAAATGCTAAGCGTTAAAGGGGCCCTATAATGATTTTCTGTTTTTTTCCCTGTCCTGTATTGTGTTATATAGCTTTATGGTCTGCAAAGTCTTAAAATAAAAATGGTCTGCAAAGTCTTAAAGCCCAAGGTAAACACTGAAGGGAGTAACTCTCACCACAAAACCCACTCTTCTCTAATCTGCCTGAAACATCTTGTTGGAATTCCAGCCCTTACTTCCATGCCATGGTGAGGTCACCTCGTAACACACTCCTCATTGGCCACCTACCTGCAAGCTTGGCACACCTTCACACAACCGGCAGCCTGTGCAGCAACTTTTTCTGACAGGGAAGGAATGTGTAGGACAAGCTGACCAATCAGAGCAGACTGGGCTTATTGGGGGTGGGGGTGGAGTGATTATAGTTGCACAGTATGAGAAAAATAATTCATTTTTGGAACACTGAAGCATGCAAATCTATTCTAGTAAACCCCAAAAATAAAATAATGAACAGTTAAAATGAACATAACAGGGTCCCTATAAGCAAAACTTAAAGCTAGCTAAGGTGAAGTAATTATTTTTTAATTAATAAAACTAGATAAAGAACAGTAACAAGTTAAACAAGTGCAGGTTAAAATGCATACTTATCTAGGCCAACAACTTAAGAGCAAGATGACAAAAGTGGCAGAAGAAAATGCCAGTAATGACACAATCATTTCACAAACATTATCACTGTAATAAAAATAAATGTAAAAACAGTTATTAGTATATGGTACGAGTATAAATGCTTCTTTATGATCTCATATTTATCTTAATTGAAGCAAAATAGCCCTGTACTGCATGCTAAAAATGTCGAATAACATAAAATCACACTGAAATGCATCTTTTGAGGTTCTCATAGCGCTGTTGTTTATATCAACCTTAGTTCACAGCAAAACATGAGCACTGAAAATTGCCTGTGATAAATGATATCTTAACGCTTCGAAATGAACCTATTAAAGCCCAGACAGCGGCTCTGTTTTGCTATTTAGGGTTAGCGTCGTCACTTGCATATTTCGAAGCACTGTCTCCATGTGCCAGTTGCAATAAATCCACTTTAATGCAGAGACAGTTTAATTCCAAAATGTCATTGTGATTAATGATAAATTCCCGAACTGTTTAAAACTAAAGATTGACTTACTGTCATTGTCAGCTTGTAAAGACAAAGAGTACAATAAGCCTGGTTTGGTTTGACAGATAACCCCATCATTTAATGCTAGAAAACAAAAATGTATTATGTATGCTCAGTGGCCACTTTGTTAGGTACACCTGTCTAGTACTAAGAAGGACCCCCATGTTGCCCACACAGCTGCCTGAATTCTCCGAAGCATGGATTCATTAAGCTGCTAACTTTCCTTATGAAGTTCGGTCCATGGCATTTTTACACTTGTGGCCTTCCTGTTAGCTTTAACGAGTTTGGCCATTCCCCTCTGGCCGCTCTCATTAACAAGGTGTTTTTCGCCCTCAGGTCTTCCTCCGGTTGGATCTTTTTTTTATTCATTCAGCCCATCCTCCATAAACCCTCCGCTACGTACTGCATAAAAATCTCAGCACGGTGGCCGTTTCTGAGCCTGCTAGCAACAATTATAACATTCAATACTGCTTATTTCACACATATTGCCCATTCGAAAGCTTTGTCAAGAGGTGAGTGAACCTCTTGACCTGCTCCGCGTGCTTTGTGTGTTGAATTGTGGCGTTTCTGTGAGTAGGAGCAGGCTGTTGGCATAAGCGGGTAGAGGTTCCTGATAAAGTTCCTGTTAAAGGTTCCTGTACACATTTGTATTGGTGTCTGCAGAAACCATCCAGAATATTCAGAAAAAAAGGTGCAAGAATGTAGTTACTTTAAAAAGGAGAAATTGAATGAAGTTTGAGAATATACCTAAATACAATTCAAAACTGGAGTTTTAAGAAAATGTATTTAAACTTTAAAGTTTAAGGTTAGACTCATAATATGCAGGTCTCATATTTGATATTTAAGTCAATAAATCAATATACTATATGTTAGAAATACTGGAGATCCATTATGTAAATGTATATTAAACACTTAACCTCAATTGTCAACTAATATCCTCCAATATCCAATGTGCATTTACAGATTTGTAAATAGCAAATAATTTTTTTAATTAAAATGATATAGATTTTTACATTCAGTACTTGCATTAATATGAGTTTTAAGAAACTGTGAAACATGATATGATTATAGCTTGTGACTTGTAATAGCAACCAGGACAAAAATAAACTTACTTTCACTGGAACTGAATTGAGTTGTGAAATCAAATGCACAGAAATAGCAATAATAAACACGAGCAGCACCGGGCCCATTTTTACATATATGCAGAAGTCTCATAAATAGGTTTGTATAATTTGTACTTTTTTTGCACTTTACACAAGGGTGAGAACTAAAGACTGGCTGCAAATTGCAGGTCAGGCAAACAATTGGACTATAGACAGTGAAAAAGCATTGAATCTACAATTCATATTAACTGCTGTAACGGTGAACCAAACTTCAGCGCGTTATTCTCACAAGAATGTTTGTAAAGGGCAATTAATACTAACAAGAAGAGAGTGAATATTGAGAGTAATAGAAGAAACTTTTTACCTGGGACTGCAACTTTGCGATGTCAAGGTTACCAAAGCTGGTCTCTGTCCGAGGAAATCTTAACGAGATTGTACGTTAGCAGAGGAGAAAAAAAATCCATTTTAATTTCCTATGACAAACACTAAGTAAATCTTCACAATTCGGCATATTTAAGCAAATGACGGCCAGACTGCCAGTCAGGTACTGAATTGGTATGGTAGGTACATAGTGTTTTTTAAACCTGAATTTATTTCTGTGTAACGGCATCTTTATTTCTATGAATATTTATATCAGGGTGTTGGGAAAACCAACCTTGCGGAGCAACAATTAGTGTAATGAGGATGGCAACACTTGTTCAATCAAGGAAGCCGAACAAACGTAAATAACATATTAGCATGATGAACGACCAAATGAGCGGCCCGATAAAACAGCAACGTCAGTTCCCCTGCGAGCTTACGAGTGCAAGCACTGCACCTTGAGAAAGCCTACCCACGGTACTGCCTTCTCTGGTGTAAGGCCAAGAATGACGGAGGGAGAGAGAGATGGAGGAAGAGGGGAAATGGAAAAGGATGCGAGCAAAGAAAGAGGAGGAGGAAGCCTCTTTGAGACTTTTTTTCAGCACTAACAGTAATTTACTCACATAGAAATTCAGCCCCACTGAGTGACTAAAAAGTTTGAAAATGGGGAAAACCTCAAAATAGACCAATAGAAGGTCTGGATTTTTCCATATTTTAATGTAATACACAGATATCTCTGGGGAAGAGTTCCCTTTTTTATTTTTTAGTATGTAACTTTTGTGTCTTCAGACTTTTTTAATGTTGCTGAACCCTGGAGAAAAGATGTATTTTTGTACGTGTCCATGCCATGTTCCTGGCTAAATATATCCAGCAGCCCTGGAGCGTGTCCTGCCCGGAGCCCCGGCCCACGTCCCCTCGTCCCCTCAGGCCACACGCTTCCCGGCCCATCTGGGGACCTACCTTGGTGGTCTTGATCTTGTTACCAGTGGCACAGCTCCAGCCTTTGAGATCAGGCAGAACTTTGCACTCCTCTCCATCCAAGCAGGGGTGCATTTGACACCACCACCTCTGCTCCACGATGGAGGCTGGGAGAGGGGAGCAGAGGGGAGGAGCGGAGGGGAGGAGCAGAGGGGAGGAGCAGAGGGCATGAGCAGGCAATAGACACATGGCCAAATGTGGCAAGAGGCTAACGAGCAGGACAGATCACGGCTAGATTAATACATAAGCAGACAAACAAATCGAACTACACTCTGCAAAACACCACCCAGGCCGTCGACTCTCAGCCCATTATGATGGGATGTTTCCAACCATTACTGAGCTATGAAATCCACTTATTTCAGTTTTGTCCCAGGAAGGTCTGAAAAAAGTTGAACTTTAAACACAGTACAGTGAGTTTTTTATGTCTTCAACTTTTTTCATACCTTTTCCTCACACAATAATCTGTGTCATATCCACCAATCAGCCATAACATTATAACCATTGACAGGTGAAGTGAATAACATTGATTATCTCGTTACAATGGCATCTGTCAAGAATGTCATTATATATTAGGCAGCCAGTGAGCTGTCAGTTCTTGAAGTTGATGTGTGGGAAGCAGGAACAATGAACAAGCTTAAGGATCTGAGCGACTTTGACAAGGGCCAAATTGTGATGGCTAGATGACTGGGCCAGAGCATCTCCGAAACAGCAGGTCTTTTGGGGTGTTCCCCGAATGCGGTGCTCAGTAAATAAAAGTGCTATAAAGAGCGCCAACCGGTGAATAGGCAACAGGGTCATGGGTAACCAAAGCTCATCGATGTGCATGACGAGCGATGGCTCGCCCGTCTGGTCCGATCCCACAGGAGAGCTACTGTAGCACAAACTGCTGAAAAAGTTGATGCTGGTTATGATAGAAAGGTGTCAGAACACAATGCATTGCAGCTGCCCTCTGTCCAGTGTGGAAAGCGCCTACGATGGGGATGTGATCATCAGAGCTGGACCGTGGAGCAATGGAAGAAGGCGGCCTGGTCTGATAGGTCACGTGTTCTGTTATATCATGCGGACAGTCGGGTGTGTGTGTCGTTTACCTTAGGAAGAGATGGCACCAGGGTGCACTATGGGAAGAAGGCAAGCCGGTGGAGGCAGTGTGATGCTCTGGGTGATGTTCTGCTGGGAAACCTTGGGTCCTGGCATTTATGTGGATGTTACTTTGACATGTACCACCTACCTAAACCTTACTGCAGACCAAGTGCACCCCTTCATGGCAGCGGTATTCCCTGATGGCAGTGGCCTCTTTCAGCAGGATAATGTGCCCAGACACATGGCAAACATTGTTCAGGAATGGTTGGAAGAATATAAAGAGTTCCAGGTGTTGACTTGGCCTCCAAATGACTCAAATCTCAAACCTATCGAGTGTTTGTGAGATGTGATGGACAAACAAGTTCCACATACCACAGAACACCTTCAGAGGTCTTGTGGAGTCCATGCCTCAATTGGTCTAAGCTGTTTTGGCGGCATGAGGGGGACCTACACAATATTAGGCAGGTGGTATTAATGTTGTAGTTGATCGGTATGCACCTTACTTACTCCTGCTCTGATGTGTTGGACTGCAAGTAAAAATGTGCTCAAAATAAGGTCCGCCCACTTACAGCTAAATTTGTGGTACTCATTTGAGGACCACATTTCTTATAATCTGATGGCCCAGTGGATCTGTCTTACACCTCCAGGACTGGGGGGCTTGCATCCTGCTTCTGCCTTAGTATGGGGTTTGCATGCTCTCATTGTGCCGTGTGGGCTTTCTACCACAGTACAAAGACAGATTGCTGGATTGACGCGCATTGAGCCGGCATCCCATCCAAGGTGCCGCATGTCCTATGCTACCGAGGTTGGACTCCAGACTCTCCACAACCCTGTACCTCTGAAGCAGCTGGAAGGCAGATGCATTACTGGCCAAAATTGTGGAAACTCTTCCAATTTTTATACATTCCAGAACTTTATTCAATTGTTGCTACAGTTACTTATTTAATCATCCAATGTATGATCTTTGATTGTTTCTAAACATTACTGCCAATATTCATGTAGTAATTTTAATTGCGTTATACCAAAAATGCTAGGTGTTTCCACAATTTTGCCCACTAGTATATATTACCTATGGCTTTTTGTAAGATTTACATCATTACATAGTACGGCATAGCAATATACAGGTGTTTTCATTAGTGCATTAACACAAACATATTAAAAATATGGAAAACTGTTGTTAATTTAAAACCAGAGGATGTCAATGCTGGCTGCCACAAACAGCAAGCTGTGCTCTGAATGAAAATAACACCGCCAGATCTTACAGATTCCACAAACATAATTACGCTGTACAGTATAATTGAACTACAAAAGCTACAAAGGATGTCAGTTGGATGCCAATCAGTGTGGCGTGAGACGTCCTTCAAAGGGAAGTACCATCGACGCAGGAGGGCGCGGCTCGGGTGGTTCCGGCAACCTGCCCGGGAAAGCAGGAGCACTTGACGGTCTGCGAGCGCTCCTCGATCTTGTTCTTGTTGCAGCACCGGTGAATGGCCACCACCTCGCAGGTCCCGGTCCGGACGTGCTGCACTGCGGACACGGAGGGGAGAGATAAAGCGTGCAACGATGTAGGAAGTCGCTTTCATCTCCGGTCCTGCTGCAATTACCCCTCCTCTCCCCCCCCCCGATTTCCAACTCAGGCTGCCACGTCTGAATTATTTAACGCGTGATGCGCCCCGTTATTTTTTAATTGAAAGTGACATTTTCAAGCAGCATCTGTCTAGGGAAGGGAGCTCACCCTTGTGTGGTAAATGACTAATTAGGAAGTTGTAATGCTTGTCTCAGAAGCGTCCATAATGCAGCAGCAGACAGGAACGTCTCATTAAAATGCTTAAAACGTTGTTTGCCGATGCAGGTTTGTTGAACCCAAAGTAAACAAATAATAAATAAATAAGTCCATTTATTAACTGATGGCTTAAGTATTCAATTTTGCATTATTTTAATTTAGGGATTTGAAAGCCCTATTTCTAAGAGGGACCACAGTTTTACAGGCTTTGAGGGACCCTAGAAAGACATTCATAAACATCAAACAGAATTATTAAGGCACCTTTCATGTTAAAATTTCATACAGACGTCACAAAGCTCACAAATTTGGCACACGGCAGATGACTTTGGTGTAAAGTGAACTTGGTTCCACGTTTGAGGGAGATATGTCAACCTAAGACAAGTTCACGCAGCTCTAGAAAAAGAAGCCCTTAGCTGTTGCCCCCCCCAAACCTAACGCCACCCTCGTCACCTTCCAGTCACTTCCAGATTCAGCCCCCTGTGTGTGGATTAGACCTCTGTCACCTAATTATAAAGTGATGCCGTAGAGTCTGCACTGTGCCACTCACCATCCTCAAAGGAGCCTGTTCATCAGGCTATGAGGAATCGTCCAGGCAGTGGCTCAGGGAGACAACACAGTATTTCACTCCTGTCTTGTCACGTTACGCTAATTACCAGATGCAGGCTGCCAGTGACTTCCATTTTCTTAAAATGTTAAAATATCTGGCCTGACATCTATTTCTTTATGCCTTCTAAGGTTTCCAAATAAGCCTGAGTTGTCTCGGGTCACTCTAATGAAATGCCATCCTGCTAGCATGTTTTGGAAGCACTTGTGGCATCCTGGCAATTAGCGTTACTGTGAGATTCCTGAACACCTTACCGGGCATCTCCCAGGCTCCTATTACCTGCTTGTGATTGATAAAATTGACAGTGGAGGACAGAATGGGTGTCTGCACACTCAGTTAAAGCGTTACACAGTTACAGCGTGACAGACGGAATCACTCAGCTGTCACGTCCAATCAAAACAACAGACAGAAAACTGCGGGACGCACCAGGGCCATGAGCTACGAGTGCAAGCTGATGAAAACGGAGACATAGGAACCCAGGGTGTTCATGAGGGTGATCGACACCCCACCCCATTAGCGTGTCTATAGGTTTTGTTTTGCCCCACCTGCTAATGTACGTAATCACAGCTGACTGTACAATGACAGGCGATCAAACTGGACATCAGTATCTGGTCCCAGAAGAACAACAGAGAGGGTGCATCTCAATACCAAGAACGCAAAGACCGTAGTTGTGGTCTTGGCTAGAGCGGTCTTGCTAACTTGCCTTCCAAGAACGAACTTGGGCCGCAATGAATCATTGGACTGGTCTCGTTCAGCAAGGATGCAACCAGTGTATCTTTGATATCTGGGGTAGTAACATCAGCATCCAGGGATTTTTAGTGCCCTCTGTACTTCTGTTCTTGAGTATTGGAACTGATCTCCGGCAATGGAAGATGACGTAAAATGGGTACACAAGAACATGATCAGGTACACAAGTACGGTCAAGTACAATCATTCACTGAGTTACAGTCTTGGAACTTGAAAGCAACCCCCACCCTGTCCACTAGGGGAGTTTTGGGTCGGTTTTCCTGTAACTACACCATAGAAGTAGTGGTAAACACACCAAGCAGACACGTGGAATTAGGCAGAATCTTATCACCTGCCCTCTGCAAACAGGCCTTGGTCTATTTGATCAGTAACATTATATGAGGTTAGTAGGGATCGCAGCCCGCAGCAGGACACTGGGAAGAGGTATCCATTTTGTCTACATTTACTAAAGCAGGTAAATGGATTTTTAGACGTTCATAACTAATGTAGCAGAGGAAATCTAAATGCTTTTCTCCAGCCTTTTTCAGATATATCAAATTGTAATACTGTACAAATGCTTTCAAAAAACTGTATAAGTAATATGCTGTACAGTATATATCATTGAGCTAAGTTGTTACCATAATATTCAAAAGTCATTCAATCAGTCATTAAATTATTAACGCAACGTAACTTGACTTCTTTACTGTGTGAAAGTCAAGGTTTTAGAAAACCAGAATATATTCAGAAATATATGTAAGATGCTCATCACTTTGCGATGGTTTGACTTGCAATGGACGATGCTGTGACAGCGATGCACATTCAGGAATCACCAAACTTTGGATTTTGATCTATTCCTCGGCTAGTGATGTGCCGGGTGAAAGCAGCATCCATCCAGCCACGCGCCCAGTCTCTGTAGCCATCGTGGGCATAAACATCTCATACGGGAGAGTGGGAGTGGGCAGTTCCCACCCAACAGAGACAGATCAAATGTTTCTTATCATTACTGATCTAATATAATTGGCCAGTTATTAAATTTTTACCATTGTAACCCTCCCCCATTAAAACCCACCTAAAAACACCCAATTGCCAGCCTATGATGCCATGCTGATGATATCTGATACAGTGTTATGCAATATATTGTATGGTGTTTTTTCTGTGTTTAACAAAAATGACTTATTCAGAGCATTTATTTATTTATTTATTTATCATATCATACGATATATTCAACTTACGATATTTTCAACTTACGATGGATTCATCTGAACGTAACACCATTTTAAGTTCAGGGGCACCTGTAACAGCCCTTCACCAGTACATCTCATAAATAATGTCATTAGGTCTGATATCGGACAAATGGCAGGGCGCCACGGAGCGTCACACCAACGGGAAGAATGACAGGTAAGTTACGCACGCGGCGGAGGCGCGAACGAGACGCATTTCCTTTCCAACCTGTATCTTCTCACCCAGACTGTCGCTTAGCATCACCTGCGCATGTGAAGTCTTAATTAATGAATTAAAAAAAATAACACTAGGCGGTAATTTAATTAATTTTTTTAAAGGAGACTCAAAGCAGGTGTCTTTCAGTGCATTGCACATAGACCGTGAATGGAAAGTTATTCACAAAAGTAATCCGTTATAGACAGAGGTGGAAAGTTCAGACCAAGAAAGTGCAAATCCAGACCAAGGCTTTGTTTCAACCAACCAGCTGAGTATAAAGAGTCATAGAGTCCTCAGCTGATTGGGTAATTTCCCCATCACTGCAGATAGATAACTCACTTTCCAGAAGTACCTGAATTATTAAAGGGTAGAAGCATCCAGACGGAGGAATGCTGAAGTATGGTCATTACTTATGTTTGTATTTATGTGGATGTGGTCTGGTATAGACCTATATTAGACAAAATTGTATCTTATTCAGCTTATTGCATGAAGTACATCATTAAAATCAGCTGAATGTTGTTTGAACTTTTCATTTCAAGGGGCCATTTTGAATCACTTTCGTACTGATCTATTTTTGCACATAGAAGCATGTCTGTTTGCTTCTAAGGGAAAAAATGCTGTTTATTGTTTATATTGCTGTCAGAGAATGACACAAAAGAAAGAGAGAATTTTTCTTAGACCCTTCAGAAAATTAAGACATCTGCCAGAGTGGCAGCGAAGGAAGGAGATGTTTGATGTTGTTGATTTCGGCAGCATTTCTCTGGCAGATAATTTGATTTAAGAAAAACTCTGGTCGCGAATTGGTTGGGACTGGATACTGCACGCTGCTCATTTGACTCAACGGGTAAATATTTTGTGGAATTATTCCAGATACTTCTTTATTTGCAGAAAATGCAAATACATACCTTACAATCTGATAGATTACAAAGAGAACAATATAAGGGAAATTAAATGTTCAAATTCAAGATTCAGTTCTTAATTGTCGTTGTGCACAACAGCAGAATGAGACTGAGTTAACAACTCCCTCAGAAGTGCAGAGAAAAGCACAAGACATGTACTATGTAAACAATATGTACAGAATAGCCAAAATGTGCAAAAGTACAAATGTGATAAACAGTATGTGGTTGTGTGGTATGTGGCGGTCATGTGTGTCCTTTACTGTCCAGTTCAGCCCGGCTACTGTGTTGAGGTAAATAATGCTCTTAAGTCCAGTACCGTGGACTATCTGCCTGGTGGCCACAGTTCAGACACAATGAGTTAGACAAAAACTAGTTTTTGATGGTGCATTCATTGGCCACATCTGGCTATACTGCACTTATCCTGAATGGCAGAACACTTTATACAGGCAAATTCGACGCCCTTGTTTCACGTCACAGTGAGACCCGTTGAGGTCATGAGCTTTACAGCATGAAGGCATGTAAGCCTCTCAAAGATGCTGTAATCCTGTAATCTCCCGCCCGGGCTGTGTGTTCGGTAAGGATGTGCGTTCGTAACCCGAAGCTGTTCTTGATTCCCTGAGTGGGTTACCTGGCTCAGCTTCCCCCAAAAGGACGCCTGGTTTTATTGGCTGTGGACTGGGGGGGTGAGGGCGAGGGGGGGGGGGGNGGGGGGGGGGGGGGGGTTTGTCGCTTACCTTTCTGGCTGCCTGTGGCCGCCACCGCCTTCTCCCACAGGGTAATGATGCAGATCATTAGAACTAATGCCCTTCTGCCTTTGTACTGCGTCACTCTCTTACTCATCCTGGAGAGAAAGGAGACCCAGAGAATCCCATCAGTGGGAGGCTGGTACGTTACGTGCGGAAGCTCTTTGATTGGATTTATTTATAGCCTAAGACACAACATTTGCGGAGAGGAAGAAAAGCACGACGTATAATATAAATATTAATGCTGATACGTGTGAGCATAATTACTCATGGGTTAATGTTGCAAGAACAAAGTGTGGGAAATATCTACCCACAGCACAATGCACTTTTCTGGATTTGAACCGGAACTTGTTACCTGGCCGACCGTGGGTGTTCTGGCACCCTACTCACTATTTTGCGCCCCCTAATCAAATGGTGCCCTAGGTGACCGGCTATGTCACCTATGGGGTGTGTCGGCCCAGACTTTGGGAGTATGTCTGGTAACATGAACTGACATAGCTGAGTGCATGATTGCATAGTGCTGACCCTTAATGACCCCCCAGGCTGGCGCACCTTCCCAACTCTATATTCTGCCTTGATTAATCTAACATGAATCCGGAGTCTCCTGACCCCAAGGGGTGACGCTCAGCCTGAACCTGGACTAGCAGGAGAGCCAAAACACCGCGGGTCTGCGTCCGCTTGGGGAACATGGAAAGCCTTTTTGCTGTTCCCATGCTAAACCATTAGAAAGAGGAAACAAAAATGGATTGCAGATAGGCTGCGTTTAACGTGTCTCTTAGGAAATCCTTATTTACAGGAAAGTGCACAAAATTAAACAGAAGACGAAATAAGTTTGCTTCACCCTCCATAATTCACTGTCCCTGTTTGCACATCGTAATTGTATTGCATGTTGATGTTGCAATATTGCAATAAACATGTACACATGAGGTGTAATTGGAGTCAGAATTATGAATTTTAATGGCAAAATTCACCACAAACACCATCCACAAATTACCCATGAGCACATGTGTAATGGAGGGTCAGCCTGGACCTTAAAAGCAGGTCATACTGACAGCTAATTTGGAGACCCTGATTCACCGAGACAGGATGATGTTGGACATTACAGGTGGGGGGGGGAGTTGGGCGACTACCCACAGCACCACCTAGCCACCAGGACTCTGAGGGAGGTGTTGCCAGGGAGGTGTTAAGGGGTGTCAGAGTGTTCACACCACACGTTAAGCAGGGCCGCCCTCATCCTGTGTCGTCCAACACCCCAGCTACAATGACGCACTGAACAAGTCTGCGCTGTGCTGCACACAACTCGCAAAAATGCCTATCACACACACGGCAATCACTTTCGGAAATGCACCTTTTCACGTCCCTGTAATTAATAAAGGGGACAATGCATATGCACCACAGGGTCCTGTCTGAAGCGCAACAAAGCCGTAACTCTTCTAAAAAACACCTACCCTTAAATAGCAGGGAAATAAGCTGTATTTGGCTGTTTTCCACAATGAGAACTGCTGGCCTCTTTATTTGTACTGGGGAGTTTGTGCTTCTCAAAAATGTTTCTTCACATTTTGTTCATTTCATTTTATTCAGGTGGTTTGCAACAAAGGGGGTTGTAATCTTAACATGGCCCATCTTCTTAATGATCATAACACTGTTAAAAGGTCACAGCAAACGTCCGAAAAATAAAATTCCCCAGTATTATCCAGTAACAAGGTCAGACCAAACATTTAGCCTATTTGAAGATGCACATCAGCTGGTCTTGGGGGACCCACTCACAAAGTATGGAGAACTTTCAGGCAGCAATCAACAAAAGTTGACCTGCAGGAGGATACTGGAGAACCCAGAGAAAACCCACATAAACATGCAGAGAACATGCCAACTCCACGCAAAGGCGGCATCATACGTTCAGGAGTTACTGGTTTCTGTTTTTATTTTTTTGCTATCTGTTGTTTGTGTCAGTGAGCTATCCTGTTTCAGAAAAACTGCTTGCCTTTGATATGCACACAGTTATATTTGTGCAGCATGAACCCACACAATTACAGCATTAAAAGTGCTTTTGAATCCTTTGTCCTGGAAATGTCAGGCTTCAGGCAAGTTTTAATTGTGTGTCGTATTAGACTCCCGAGGAAAAAGTTTAATGTATGCTTCTTGCTGAAAAATGTGCTCTGAAAATGCATGTCTGATCCATAGCTGACATGTGAAAAATAAACTAGATTGATACACACATTTAATAATAGCAAAACATTATTATGAAAGTTTATATATAACACAATACAGACACCATTTATTCTAACTATTGAATTCCCCCATGTGAGAGGAACATCAGTGTCACAATCTGGGGAGAAAGGTCTCCCATCTGCAAGTCAGTAGGTATAGCAGCCGGACTGGAGAGTGAGATCGTGCACTTTTACATCCAGAAAGTCCAAAGTTTCAAGCAAATCAAGAGAAACAAGAAGCAGGAGGTTTTCTTGATTCTCTTTCTTTCTTTCTTTCTTTCTTTATTTATTTAATCAAGCTTAAAACAGTGATTCCCACATATTCCACTTGACCAGCAAATTGGGTTGTAATTCACTTAGATTTATGGTCATTTAATTATCCAATTACACCATTCGATTTTGCTCTTGAACTCTTCATGCACTTGAACCCTTCAATAAAAATATTAAATCTTCTTCCTTCTTCATGCTTAGCTGTGTATAATGAGCAACATTTTATAGCCAAAGGCAATTCTTTACATGATGATTGGAAGCAAATTGCCAATTAACATCACTTAATCTCTGTCGGGCGTAAAATAACGGAAATAGTCACATCAAGAGTTCACCTCTTCCAGACGTACTGTAGATATAAATCTCATGTTATGTGCAATTAGAAAACAGCCGAAGAGGTGGACAGCAAGACTGAGAACAAGGCTGTCCGCATTCGGAGGTTCAAAGAGTCTGGCTTTGCTATTCTATTTACATGCCTCATAAAGAAAATACGTGTTTGATTCCTTGCTCTGTTCTTATGGAAGCCTCGCTTCCCCAAACACGTATGTCAGTGTGCTGAAGAGGTTTGAGCAAATGTGAGCATGATGACAGAAAAGAAAAAAACCATCAGATTGGAAATCAAGGGGGAAAAACTTCAAACTCAGGTCATCCAGTCCCGGGATTTGTTGTTTCTCCGGTCCGTGCAGTGACGTATTCGCCCCCGCAATTGTGGCTGCGATCGGACTTCGCGCTGAGGAGCGTGACGTCACCCTTGCTGAGGGGGAACCAGAAGCAGGAATGAGGTGTGTGCATTTGCAGGTGGACCGGGAGTGGGGGGGCTCGTCACAGCCTTTCCCACTGCCAACAGCAGTGTAGCAGCAGACGTACATTAAACCTCACACAACCACTCAAATCCGCCCCCACCCCCCACATGCAGCTTTATTCTTAATTCCAGACACCAACCTTTTCACCTCATTTAAAAACAGTGTTTCTAACAATAAATACCACCACCACCACGCTCCCCCTAGACGACAAACAGATTTTTTTTCCAGACTGGCTTTTCTTCTTCTTCAGAATGATGACTCACCTTCTAATCTCTCTAGACGAGAGACAGATGGTTGGTGGGACTCGCGGCGGCGAAGAACACGTACACCCAGAAAGCCAGAGCCGCCTTGCCGGAGCCTGCATATTGAGCGGCCTCCTTCAAGGATACACACTGTAAAGGACGCCGCTGTAGAAGCCCCCGAAAAAGACCTCGGATACATTACGCATTCAGGCTACATTCCCCTTTAAATGCAGGTATAGGGGAAAAGTCAAGGTAAATGTTTTGCCTGAGAGGAAATACAAAGGTTTGTTCATAAGCGGATGCGAGCCAATATGCAGAGAGAAAATTAACAGTGTTTTTATAGGTTATGCTGCTTGATTATACAGAAGCTGAGAATGGCAGAGCTTGCAGTTATTTTTTTTATACCATTAATACCACATTTCAATTAGTGGCATAACCCTTAAAGATTCAGATAATGTGTGTAGATTTGAATGTGGGTGTGAAGGTTTGTTTATATCACATTTCAGGATTTTTCTTTTCGGTATATTTCTACACGTTGTGTTCAGTGGAATGACATAGGATTTCTCAGGACCAGAGACATGACCTGCCACATGGGCACAACACCTAATTTCAACATTAAATAGGCCTATACGAATGCACTCATTAAGTTACACAGTTACAGTGCATATATGAGTTGATCTGACTATGGCATGACAGCCCTGTGGCGTCATAATAGTATTCACCATATCCCGGCATGCTCCTGAGCCACTGTAATTGGCCCAGTGTGTAATTGTTTTTAGTGTTAATACTTGCGTTATATTTCCGAAGTGTCGCGTGTACCTGTACCAGTGCTGTATGTGTGATCCTGACACGTCCCTAGTCATTGTGTAATTCTCCTACCGTGTGTGGGTCTGTTTTCGTGTCACTATATTATTGCTTGAATGCGGCGCTTTTAAACGCTTTATTAAAGAGCAACTCCGTGCAATTCCGCGCTTCGTCGTCCTTATTCGCCGCTCCCGGGATTGCTCGCCGCAATACGTTCTTGTAAGTATTAAGAGAAAGATATCACGCTATTTCGAAAAAACGAGCTATGTTATAATGACATAAAAAAAATAATTAGGCCTACAAGCACGGCAGTTCTTGGTTTCCTACGGAGCCCCCGAAGTCCCATAGAGTGATTTTTTTTATCTTGTGTGCACAAGATAATACCTTGTGCGCACAAGTTATGTATCTTGTGCGTACAAGATAGTTACAGTCCGTATGAATGGTCGCGACAGAGGTGAAGCGACATGAACAATACTTTTTCTTCGGTCCTTATCGGTAATCATAATAATACACTATGATAAACAGGTACAGTAAATACATCATTACTTGATTACTGACATCTGTTTATTGTATTTATTGAACCTGTTTATACCTGTTTTACTATGATTACCGATAGTGAAAGAAAAAAGTATTGTTCATGGCGCTTCACCTTTGTCGCGACCATTCACACGGACTGTACGTGTAACTCAGCCTTAATGCCAAAGTAGTGCGCAGCAGCGTTGCATTTACTCCTTCAAGTAATATTAATTGCAAGGCTACTGTATCTTATTATATT